ACCACAGGTGCAGATTTCGGGCTCTGAGGGACTTCCACCGCCAGTAAATATCACGGATCGAACTACATCCAAGTGTCCACGTAAAGCAAACCGTACTTTGAAGTTAGTAGTATCTGCCTTGGGGCCAACGGATCCAGAAAGTTCACGGACATCAGGGTTGCCGTCACTTCGTCTTCTCCCGCCAGAACTCTTTCTCCTGGATCCACGTCCACGGGTGGGAGACTTGGGGGGAATGAAGTTCGCACTGGGGAAAGCATCTGTGTCGGGGCGGCGAGTGACAGGAGCCGGGGTGGGCTCGGTCGAGGGCGCTTCATCGAAATTCCAACCATCGGCTTCGTCAACAATAATATCATTAGTTGGGGGTGGCTTCCCGAAATCTTCCTTTCCTGAGAGTGCTTCTGGAGACTTGCTCTCAGTTTGCGAGGGTTCTTCGGACTTGGATGGGAATTCATAGTTGGCGTTGCGTTCCTCCTGCGTGGTTTCATTTGCTCGTTGCGGTTCCTGGGGTCTCCTATCAAGGAATTCCCGTTGAGCCGAACCCTGGGCACCGTTTTCGTTATACGTTGGCATCATCATTTGGGAGCCTTCTGGTTCTCGAACCATGCTCACATGATTCAATTGAGGCTGTGCTGGGACTAATTGTTGCTTTTGCTGTGGCACAGATTGTTGTTGCTGCCGTTGGTGCTCCTGAATATAACTACTGTCCAACGGTTGTCTTTGCATATGATGTTGTTGGTAGTCATGATTCAACAGGTCCTGCTCGTTTATTTCCGGAGGTGGATGAGATCTGGGGATGATATGGTAAGCCACTTCTTGCGTGCATTTTCCAAGGTACAGTCTAGATTTGTCCCGTTCATTTTCGTGTTGGGCGTCAGGGCTGTTGGACTCCTCATCGTCGGCGTAATTATCAAGACCGGACGACGGCTTCGGTTGTTCTATATGTAAACGCGCATTAGAAAAACAATCAAACAACGAACGTGGAAGGATCAAGTTCCATACTCTTTTCCAGAGCCTTGAGACTCTTTTTAGCAACTTCTTTTGGGTCGACACTGGGTTCGATCGTCTCCCCTGCAGCCAGCTTGCTCGATTTCTCCCTCTCTTTCTTCAACGCGACCTCCAGGATTCGGACATGTTTCCCCAGAGACTCATGCATCCTTTTACTCGTCCGAGCATCGCCTTCTAGTCTCCCAATCCTCGACTTCATCTCAGCGCGCTCGATTTCCCAGGCGTTTCGGTCACGCTCATGTCGATGCCACTCGGTCTGTAGGAATCGCATCACACCTATAAACCGAATCATTATTAGCACAAATAGAAGTTCAACTCTCTATAGAGCTTTCAACCCCCAATAAATGGGGCGTTGTCTTCCAGGAGACATGCAAAACTGACCCTGTAACGTATATTCCGTGCCCTGAGGCTGGCCTCCACCATTACTCGCATCCATACTCCCACCACCCATTCCACCATTTCCGGCCATGGCAGACTGTGGCTGCCAGGCCATCAAAATACCAGGACGAACGGACTAAGATATATCGGCAGACCAGCCAGAGTCAAGGGTAGACAGGTCTATTACTATTGTGAGGACACGCTTGGCAGGGTAAGCCGTCAACGGCGTTTCGGCTGGCGGAAAAAAAAAAAGGAGAGGTCAAGTGCTGGCTAAGAATAAACCAACCGCCCCCGACAAGGCCTCGGAGGTGAGATGCAAGTATAGCAACGTCCAGACGAGGTGAATCTGCGGCGTTGTCGCCACCGGTTTGCTGTTCGATGCCGAAGGTGAATAAAAATAAAAAAAAAAAAAGGATCGCTGCTTGTTGTTCGAAGCTCACTTTTTAGCCTGCCAAGCCGCGATCTGGCATTCCTGGGATGCTAACATGAATAATCCCGCCCATTATACTCCGTTATATACAAACAATAACATAGTGACAATGGCTTGGAGCCAGAGAGGAACGGACAAGATCGCGGGGAGAAAAGGTAAGATACATATTAGAATACTATCTCTTCTACCTCCATGCCGCAGTCGACGCAGGTCTTGACGCTCATGCCCGTCTCGGCGTTGTCTACTGGCCTCCCCCATTGATGGACGTGCCTCTGGCGGCCACCAAGGGTATCGCCAAACGAACCGCCGCCGCCCTCCCTGTTCCTGCGATGCGCCTCGAACTGGGTGCGTTTCTTCAGTTCTTTCAGCTTGGTCCTGAACTGTGCTTCTTTTCGTTTCTTTTTGTCGGCTTCCCGCCGTTCGAACTCGGCATCAAGGCCTTCGGGGGACCCCCATTTTTTCGCCGAAAAGGCGTACTCTTCTACCTGGAACCGGAGGAAGAGCATCATGTTGTTCCATGTTGACTTATGCGGGTTTGGCCGCTCTAGGTGAGGGAGCAGTTCTTCATCTTTGAGTTCAGCTGCGCGTAAATGTTAGCTAGATTAAGAGAAGAAGGTATGTTGGGCCTTGAACTCACGGTCAGTGAGGAGATAGTCTTCCTTTGCTTCTGTCTTTGTGAGTAAGCTGTACTTCTCAGGGAACTTCTCCTTGCAAACACTGCAAATAGAACATTTGAAGACTTCGTCCCATTTCCAGTCGATGTCCACGGTACCGCATTCCCGACACTTCTTCTGCTTCCCAGAGTCCTGTGCTGTGGCCCCTGGAGCAAAGGGCCCATGAGGATCTTTCCGAGCAGCCTGTAGTTGTTGATACCGCTCCCAGTCTCGTTGAGTCATATGAGCCGGCTTTCCATCTTGATCCTTGGAGTATAGAGCCTTGTTGTGAGGGTCATCATCGGCAGTCAGGAATCCACCCTTGGTATCTGTCATCTTGCTAAAGTCGTACTCTACATATTTGGCGAAGGCCCGTACAGGCCGTATAGTATCTAGTGGCCGTTCACCTGTCGTGGACGGGTTATTTCGTCCATCTCGAAGGTTTGCTGGCGTTTTGGATGGCGAGAGTACGGAGGATATGGGCCTCTTCTGCCCAGCTACAACAGAGCCACCGGTGCCACGGCTTCGTGCTTCGGCCTCTCGCTGTTCACGAAGAGCCTTTGCTTTCAAGCGGTTTAATTCCTGAAAAAAGCCCTTTAGCTGCTTGATGCCTTATCTCTCATTTTATAACCGGATCAAAGGTCATGCCTACTATACGCTGGATTTGCTCTGGAGTAAGTGGTTTTGGATTAGGGGTACCGGCTGTTTTACTCGGCGTTGCAGGCTGTGAAGGTTCCATCTCGCTAATAGCTTCGCAATATCTGAGAAGCCGGTTCTATATTCAATAAAGATGATATCAAAAAGCTGGTTGCCTTGTCGAAGTTCATCAAACCTCGCGAAAATTGATAGAGGCTCAATGCATGACTAACCAATAGATATGTAATATTACCGTATGTACCTGGTTATTTTGCTTTTATCGCTTTAATTTGTGTACTGTAATGTAAACGCATGACTTGAGCCTCCATATGATGTAACTTCATTTTGAATCTGGAGAAGCAAAAAAATCAAGACGCCCAAGCAGACGAAGCAGAAGCTGAAAGTGACTGAAGTTCAGACCAGCTGATGCCAGGTGCGATGAATGGGAGTGCCGATGAGTGTCCCCTGAGCCCAAAGAGCGTGCTGTCAGTCGAGTCCAGCCAGCCGTTCCCTCCACTCAGCCCTGATCTCGAGTCTCTCAACTATATCGAAGAGGAAGAGTCTCGGCCAGAAGGAGACGATGACGACCGAGGAGACGCTATTGATAAGGATGATGTGGTGATCAATGGAGAAGAGGTCGATGAAGTCAGGGGCACGGAAGAAGCAGAATTTCTCTCCCAATATTCACCGCAAGCGTCTGGGTCGGAGGAAGAAGACGACGAAGGAGAAGAAGGCGAGGGAGAAGAGAGCTCCCAGGAAGAAGACAACCTCGCCATTGACCGGCCGTACCTACGATCAACGGTATCTCTACCTCATGCATTTGCGCCACCGTTTTATAACCGACCACCTACTCCTCTCCCTCCTTCGCCGTCGTTGACTTCTCTTCTTCGCCCGTCCTTCTCGGCAACGACCTCACGTCCTACGACACCCGATAGCTCTGATGTTGAAACGCCCAATGATACCGAAGCTGCGGTGGCCAAGTCCGCGCGCAATGCGACGACCGTGCCTCGAGCGAGTCCAAAGGTGCCTACGTATGAATACTATGGGTTTGTCCTGTACCTGGCGTCGTCCCTTGCATTCCGTAAGTCGAGAGCTTCTTTCTAGTCACCGAGAACAATTCCTAATGAGATAATGATATAGTGATGTATTTGCTATGGTCCTTTTTACCATCTCCATTTCTACATAATCTGGGAATACACTACTATCCCAACCGATGGTGGTCTCTGGCAATACCGTCTTTCCTGGTGATGACGATTATCTACATATATGTTGCCCTAGCAGCGTATAATACGGGCTATCTAACGCTACCAATGAACAGCATTGAGAATCTAGTTGATGACGCGGCGAACATTGCTGTCATAGATAGCAAAGGGCGGCGTCGACCAGGAGGTTCAGCGAAGATGAACCCTGACGCGGCGACGGCACAGATCATGGGTTCGCAGAAGAGAATACCGTGGGATCAGGTGTGGAATGAAGGGACTGATGCAGTGATGGACATACCCATTGGTGGGGTATGTGAAGTCCTGTACGGCGGTGATGATAACGACAGTAATAACAGGCAGTATTAGTCGCTGAATTGAGCTATGAATTCCGTCTAATAATTTCAGCACATATAGATGCACAGACCAGGCTCACAAGACGATCAAGCTGACTGTTTGATGGACTACGTTGTTCTTGGAACCACAGTACTGGGCCATCCGTTGTTTCATGCGGAAGGTTATTCCTCTACTGCAACAAGACCTCAGTTGGCTGGTATAGACAAATGCCATTATTTATCTGTCATTTTTATCATGACGACCCTTATGTAAGGGGAAAGTTTGGTATATACATTATGCGTTGGCACGACATGATGGTTTCATTTCATCCTGTACATCGATCATCCACCCTACTCCCATTACTCAAGAGAAAGCAGCAATCGCCTTAGCAAAAGCCTCGGCAATGGCATTATTGATCAAGGGAGCCAACTTGGCAAACTGCTCGTTCAGCTTGAGCACAGTCTCGTCTCCCAGCTTGGCCGAAAGGTCCTTTTGCTGCTGGAGGTTGATTCTCACAAGCCAGTCAAGTGGGACGCCGAGGATGCCCTTCTTGAAGATTGGTTGCTTGCTAATGAGGGAGGCAAGCACGGCATCGATCTTTGGTTTGAGCTGGACGAATGCAGTGGCTACGGCCTGGGACTCCTGGTCGTTGAACTTGGCGGACTCCTGGACGGTCTTGATGGCATCCTTGAGGCCTGAGGTCAACTTGCTAGTCTTGACCTGGATCTTGATAGGGGTGATGAAGCCGCCGGTGTAGGACTTGACGACGTTGTCGAGGTCGGTGATCTGCTGGGAGATGGTATTGACAGAGTTGACGACAGCAGCTCCGTCACGCTTTGCAATGGGAGAGGCGACAACGGTGGTAGCAAGGGCGGCGACAACGGCCGAGAAGATGGATGAGAGCTTCATCTTGTGTTTTGTAGCTTCGTTATATCTTGTGGAGGATGAGATATAGGCTGTGACTTGAAGATGGACAGCGGTGGGTATATGTGGTCTGGTATCGCCAGCAGTCCAAGGAACTCCCTTTTATAGACTCCATCAATCCCCGGCTTCCTCTGCTCCGCCGGTCCCCCGCAAACCAGCAAACCTGGGGAAGGGAAAATCTGCATTTTGTGCCGTCTGCTAGCAGCGATGGCGAACTTAATGCCCGAATAGTCGACCATCTCCGTACGACCTTTTCATCTCCTGCATGTGGGAAGTTCGTATTAAGTGGCTGTCGAAGCCGTCGAACCCCTGTGCATCTTCTGCTCCATTGGACGCTAGGCAGAGCTTACGATGTCTGCCCTCGGCTCATGTGAAGATCTAGCACCAGAGGCTCTTTTTTGCCTCAATAAATATATATATTCCTCGGTTTACTCTAAGATGAAAGCCCCTTTTCCAAGGTTGTCCTTCTCACTGTCAACCGCAACACCTACATCTATACCCCCCAGTCTGGCATCATTCCCAGACAAGACAGTCTCTCTCCGTGATGGCCGGGTGCTAGGGTATACTGAATACGGCTGTCCATCAGGCTATCCACTGCTCTATTTCCACGGATGGCCCTCTTCGCGACTGGAAGCCTTTTTGGCAGACTCAATTGCCAAACGCCATGGAATTCGAATCATCTCACCGGACCGCCCTGGTTTTGGGATATCTGCTTTCCAGCCCCATCGTCGCATCATAGACTGGCCAAACGATATCCAGGACCTCACCCGCCACCTTAAGATATCCCGCTTCGCCATTCTGGGCGGTTCAGGCGGAGGACCCTATGCCATAGCCTGTGCCCATGCCTTGCCTCACGAGTCCCTTTCTGCAGTTGGTGTTCTTGCAGGGGCTGGTCCATGGATAGCTGGCACCCAGGACGTACCTCTTGTGTCCAGGATGATGGGCGTGGCAGCTAACAACGTTCCCTGGGCATTTACCGGGATGACAAACATGCTCGTTGGTTCTTTACGATGGGTGTCAGGTACAAGCTACGTCATACGCTGGCTCGATAATTGGATCGAGAGCACGAAAAAGGAAGACGACAAGACGCCCACGCAGGAAGGGAGAGAGGCTCTCTTGCGTATTGCCTTTGAGGGGTTTGCGCAGGGGTCTCGTGGATTTGTGCATGAGGCACAACTCCTCTCCCAAGACTGGGGGTTTCGCTTTGAAGATGTTACGTACGACAATATCCGGATATGGCATGGGACACAGGACGCAAACTCGCCTATTCGGTTGACCAGATATATGGCTGAAAAGCTGCCTCACTCGGAGCTCCAGGAGTGGGACGACACACACTATACCATTGGTGAACGCCTGGAGGAGGTCATAACTGAGCTTGTACCCGAGGAGATCCATCAGCCAGCCAGCTCTTAACTTTACATTACACTTCCGTTTTATCAACTGGGTTGACCTTACATCTAAACAACATTTTATCTTCTGTTAAATCTATTGATACCTGCCCAATCGAAATTAAACTTTCAAGAGATACTATCTCTTTATTCCATACCTTCAACTACACAAGCTACAAGACGAACGGATCCCACCCTCAAGGAGATACACTAGTCTGCCAGCTCATGATCTATCTATTGACTCCCTCACCTCTACTTCAAACTCTCTAGTTAAGAGAGATTATAGCCTTAACCTTAATTCTGTTATGTATATTCAATACCTTTAGTGGCCTAAAGGATTGAACCATTCCCAGATCATCGTTAAACCGTGACCAGCGATTACTGAGTAACTAAGGAAGTGGAAACGGCTTGATTAAGTAACCTAATAACTCGTCTGTCTATCACTTAACACCGTAGGCTTGTCGATTTGGCTGAATGGCATGCCACACCCCCTGTCTCTTCAAAATTTCAGTGTTTGTCATGTCGCACTCTTCGGGCTTAATGATAATTGCTTTAGGAACTGTTCACAGGCTTGGGGTAATCCCCGGTGGATAAGGTCTTATCCAATCTCGCTGGTGATCCTTTGACTACGCTTTCCCCTCTCACAGAGACATTTTCAAGGTCTCCAGAAACGTTGTTCATATATACGTGCACCTTCCACTTTCCAGGCCTCACCATGAAAGTGATGTGGTCTATATCCGTGTGTGCCACTCCTGCATATGTAGTAGTGGGGTGCAATGCGCCTCTAAGGAAAGTATTAGAAGGCTGAACTCGGGTTTAACTGTATATTGAGCTGGACACATTACAAGATGAAACCTGTAGGCTTTCCAAGCCTTACAAGAGATGCATGGGTTAAGTGCTCAGCCATAGCCTTCAATTTCTTCGCATCCGCACCGTACTTCTCAGCAAGCTCAGGCAGTCGACCCTTGGCATTTTGGTGCCATGACATAGTGATTCCATTGACTTCTCCTTCATAGGAGTCTTCGGGGAGGCAGTTGGTGAAAATCATTGTAAGGAGGTATTGTTTCTGTGGGATGCGCTGTATATAAGAGTGGTATATAAGAGTTGTAAACAACCTTAGAGAGATGGGTTCGAAGAAGTAACAAGGGCCAAAGGTAGCTTGGGTAGTTTTGTTGCTTTTGTGTGCGTTCTGGCGCTGTCTGTGGAAGAGAATAGTAGACCGAGCTGGGAGGGAAGCAGCTAATATTTATATCCTAATAGGAGGCATCTTTCGATGATACTCCCACCCGCGGGTGGGCATGGTACTGCACACATGCAACCAGAACTCATGGGAATCACGTCAAAGCATCCATTTTTGGCCAGTGACCAGGGGTTTCCCGCAGTCCCCGATTGGGCAGCACATCTAGCTCTATTGCTGAGCAGGGCTAATAATATGGCTGCCTGGAAACAATAGCTTCAATAAGGGGCTGCACTTCTGGGGTCTATCTTAACGCGGCGTAGACATGGAGACATTTGGTATCGAGGCCGTGGTAGGCGAATGGGATGACTCCCTTAACCGCTGAGGATGTACAAGTAGATGCAGTCCACTTGCGGCGAAGCCCGGGAGTTGGCGCTAAGGAATAGTTACGTAGTTAACTGACATGCCTTTAGCCAGTCAGCCTGGGCAGATGAGGAATAGTTAACTGTTGGATTTGGGGGCTGAAATTGACTATCGGGCTTTTTATACATTTCCCCGCTTGTGAATGTTAGTTGACACCGTGCTTATCACACTCACAACCTTGCAACAATGAAGGATTGGTTGACGGTTGCGTTCGAGGTGCATGCATGGCAGGGAAGACGCAGTCCTTGTCTCATGTCTGCCACTATTGTTGTTGCCGCCGGTGGCTGATTACTCCGTAGCAATTTTGGAGGGACTTCCCATGCGTGAGGTGACTTTTGCAGGGTTCTAACTAACTAATTACTTAAACTAGAGTTAACAGCGCGCTCAAGAGAACTTCGACATCACCAAATTCTGTCACCTTCAGACTCTTTCAAAACTGCAACTTTTACAAACTTTCTATTCTACCTACACCCGACAAAGAAGAGTTATGACGAGTCCTCAGGCATCCATACAAATGACGCCACAAGACATGAAGATACCCCCGCAAAGCGGTGACGTCCCGGATGATGGTGACTCTGACTTGGGCGACTTTGTGACTACGGAGGAAGAAGAGGGTGATATCGAATACTACTGCGAGGACAGTTCTAGATATGACAGTGAGGCGTCAAGAGCCTTCTATCCTATCTGCATAGGAGAAGTCCTCCATGACCGATACCGCATCGACCATAAACTCGGACATGGTGGCTTCTCTACCGTCTGGCTAGCTTACGACCTTGAAAAGAAGACGGACGTGGCTCTTAAAGTTACCGACTCGAGTCAGATAGGCAAGCATGAAGCCCAGATACATGAGGAGATCATTCGACGTGTCAAAGACACTTCCCATATTCTCACTTACCTGAGGGCCTTTTCGCTCCAAGGAGAAGCGTCCAATCGCCACCAAGTTCTGGTATTTCCCTGGGTCGGCGAATGTCTCACCTTTCCGAAGCTTGAGAAACTATCAATGGCTTCACGGATGTTAGCTGCTAGGCAAATGCTTGAGGCTCTTAATAATCTACATAGGGCTGGGATTGTACATCGGGGTATGACACCTCTCTCTCCAGAGCAAACACTCAAACGGCATCGTTAACATTATCTATCTACAGATGTGACGGGTTACAACTGCTTCCAAGGCATTGCTCCGTTGAAAAATCATACGAAGAAGTACAAATATGAACTACTTGGTCGCCCTCTTAAGCTACAGTTCGAGATATGGAAATCAGCTCAGCAAGTCATACCATTAAAGGTTCCGGTGGAATTACAGCAAGACACATTTTACCTTGGAGACTATAGCCTCGCCATCAATGTCGGTGAACAGGTAACCCGCGAACGAGAAGGCCGGCCACCCATGAGATATTGCTCTCCAGAACGGCTTCATGGCTTCCCACCCAGCACGGCCTGCGACATGTGGAGTTACATGTGTGTACTCTCGGAATTCTATTTGGGATTTCCCATTATCAGGAATACTTTCGGGGGTGATATCATTCCAAGTATGGTTGAAAGCCTTGGTCCACTCCCCGCTGAGTGGAAGGGGAGTCTTTTCTGGGAATATAAAGACCATTGGTATGATCAGGATACAAAACCAAGTCCTCAAGGCGCTTTCGAAATCCAAATAAAACGGTTGCGCCCCGACATTGATCAAGCCGAGCTTGAAGTTGCCTCTTCATTGTTCCGCCGGGGACTCTGCTTGGAACCAGAGAAGCGTCCAACTGCGGCTGAGCTTCTGCAGGATCCCTTATTCAAGGCTCTGATGGCCAGATATACCTGATATTTCTTCTTATGCACTCCAAACCTACCTATCATTTTCTTATTGTTGGCACAAAGTTCAGATACCATGGCCGGGGTATTCTAGCACTTCTAGATCTCCAAGCAAACCTCATCTAGCAAATGATAAACAAGTAGGGACTTTTTTGTTTTTGGAAAGATAAACGTCTATTCCGGGCCCGAATGAGTATCAATGTAGATAGCATAACTAGGTAAATGAAAGAAAGGATTTCAAACTAATATTTCGTCATCGTCAGGGGTTAAATGAACAATTTACGCCGTGAGAAGCCGCAAAGCAACATGGCACCAGAAGGTATGGATACTTTGGTCTGAATACATTTGAAGAAGATAGTGGAGTTAGGGTAGAGATGAGTGGAACAGGTAAAGGCAGCCCTTGGGTTAAGATAATGGGAAAAGAACAACACAGCCTAAACTCGGGGAGGAAAAAAGGGGAGGGAATCGTGGATGTTAAACACCACACCAAGCGTTCAAGTCATGATTAAGGGTAGAAAAAAAAAAAGAAAGAAAGAAAAAAGGGAGTAAACTTGCTGGAATTGACTCAGGTAAAAGACAGGACGCCATGTAAAGAGACCATTTGATCTAGGGAGAGATTTTGAACTGAGGTTGATATAGGGGTGAGTTGGAAAAAGGGAGAAGATGGTTTTTAATTCTCAGTCCATGTATGGGTGGTAGGATGTTGTATCGGTGTATTTGGTTTATGGTATATGATATGCGAATAGATATCATGCTTAACATCTGAAAATCTTCACGACGCTGATGACTTTCTCTCGGCAGACGGGACAAATCTCGACTTGTCTCGCGCATGTTCCGCAGGCACACACGTGTCCGCAGGTATAGAACAGCGAGTCCTGTTCTTCGGTATAGCAGATTTGGCAAAGGTTCATCTCCTCGTCAGCTACTTCCCAGTAACTGACGCCCTTGCCATGGCGTTTACCGTTACGGTAGCCGCCAACATATTTGTTGCCGGTCTTGTGTTCGACCCACGTCCCTTGTCCGTGTGGTTGGTCTTCGAACCAGTCACCGGTGTACGTGTCACCGGAGCTGTGCTCGATCATACCTGTACCCTGGCGACGGCCTTGGACGAAGTCACCGGTATAGGTGTCACCAGCTTCGGAGATATGAGTTCCGTTGCCGTGGTAGTAACCTTTGCAGAGGTCACCGGAGTAGTATTCACCATTTAGAATGGCTTCTATTGTCTTTTTACCAGTGAAGGATTTAGTTGGGTGTTGGCGATCAACGGCCCAGAGATATTCCAGAAGGCGGTCAGGAGAAAGGAAACAGCCTTCCTCCACAAGTTCAGTTTGTCTATTTAGATAACTTGTTAGTACCTACTACTTATTTTATAATTTATTCTCGTTGCTTACCGGCGCTTGGGGATGGTTTTTCCAAAAATGATACATCCAACGTCGTTTATCAGATCTCTGAACTTGTGACTTGACGAGACGCTGTGGACCGAAGCCACGGCCTTACGGCGGGACCAGAAGTTGTACCCCTGATCTTCAGAGAGAGACAGGGTCTTTCGAACCTGCTCGCGAATGTTGCAAGATGATCTCGCGAAGAAAGCACCAACGGTTTCCACAGTCTGCTTGTCAGCATCGAATTCCTGGACGAAATAGTATACTTGGTCGCATGGCAGGATAAGGTCTGATTTTGTGACTGGAGGCTCAAGAATCACAGGTTCCGCTCTCTGGACCTCCTCCTGGCTTGTTTGGGCATTTGTTTCTTCAGGAGCGTCGTTTTGAGATTCAACAATCGGAGAACCTTCCATCTGTGAATCTTCAGAGCCAGGGTGATGCTCTTGGACCTCTCTGCTTTCTTCGACTTCATTTCTTGGGGAACCTGCGGCTTCTTCGTCGATCATAGGGGGAGGGGGTGGAATTCCGTTGGCTTCTGTAAAGCTGCCGCTTGTGTCCATCTCCTGCGACTGGTCTAGGAGTGCCAGATCTTGTGCTATTATTGAGGCAATGATAGCTTCGTTTGCAGCTTGCTCATCGGTCTGGGCTTCAGGAACGGAGGTGGGTTCAACGCCATTAATCTCAGGTTGCTCAGGAGCATTATCGGACATTTCATGTTCTGGTGGTTCTGGTGCGCTAGGGATATGTTCTGAATGCTGTTCAGGTTCATCCTGGTTCTGATTAGGTTGGGTAGGTGCTTCCTCAGGGCTAGCATCATTCATTTCGACATCTTCATCCTGGCTGGACGGCTGGACCTCTTGAGCTGGCTGAGGTTGCTCCTCGTTTTCAACGAGGGGTGGTGATGGAGGAGCTGGCAAATCCTCCTTCATATCTGTTTCATTGGGAACAGGTGGCGGGGGAACAAACTCGGGGATGGAGAAGTATTTTACATCTTCTAAAGAAGAAGTCAAAGTCAGTATGCTATATCTTGCACGACATTCAATTTTAGTTATTGCTTACCCTCGTTCAAGACTTGAACCCATATGCGCAAAGCATTCCAACCAAGGCTCGCAAGCTGAAAGCCCATAGAAACTAGGGGCTCCATGCTGAAATTGAACAAACGGACCTCATGTGGTGCCCCAATAGTCCACATACGTATTCTTTCATTGGAAACTGGGTTTTCATCTGTCGAGAGTTGGGTCGCAAGCTTGGCTCTCAATTCACCGACATTCA